GAAAGGCGTGTCGCGCTCGGCTGCCCGCCACCGCCGCCCCTCTTCCTCCCGGAGCAGGCGCGGGCGGCGGCGGGAAGCGGCGTGTGCGGGGGGGGGCTGGGGCTGAGCCAGGCGCGGGCAGCGGGAGGGGCTTATGGGGAGAGGGAAAGCCCCACTCCCGCCGGCACGGGCGGGGGGATTGCAGCGCTTCCCGGGAAGGGAACCAGAGCGGGGATCGGGGCTGTAGCCGGTGCCCCCGCAGCCGGGGCGAGGCGGGGGCAAGGGGTCTCCCTGCGGGCTTCTCACCCCGACCCCGGCCCGTGCGGTGAGGCTGGGTCCCACCGCGGCATCCCAGGCGGTGTGAATGTCCAAACAGCGAGGAACAGTTGGAAAATGTTACCTGAGTGTGCAGGAATAAAAGGGGGAGGCGAGGGATGGGAGGAAACCAAAACAATGCGGTCTCGTGTTGGGGGGTGGGTCAAGGAGCACAAAGCCTTACAACAGTACAGCCCTGACTTTGGATTTCTCGTCTTCTGTGGTTCCTGGAAGGGGTAGATCCGTGGGTGACGGATAACGGGGCGAACCTTTAGGATATGAGTTGGATGAAGACATTCAAACTGCTGCACACGCCTGGAGCAGAGCTGGAAGCACCGAGGCTCTACAGAGGTTTTGTGGAGGGGCAGCAGCCTCATCTTCTGCAGGAGTCCAGGAGTTCTCAGTGAGGGAGGCCCTGCGGAAAATTGGTAGCTAATATTCACGGGATTCCGGCACCCAGGGATGTGAGGTGCTGCCTGTCAGCTGCAAAACAGCAACACTCGTGACATGCCTTTGCCTGGCTGACAAGCAGCGTCAGCTCACAAGTACCATCTGGCAGTGTGCTCACATTGCTACCTACCAGCTTATCCAACTTGGGAATAAAAAATTACAACCTATTATAAGAACATTAGACCAGCTCCCAGAATGAGCTGTTATTCTGAGCTTGGCAGGCTTTTCCTTGCACAAAGATTAACTTTTTTTCCTTCTCTTCCAAGTCTTGCAGATTAGGCTTCCATGATTTCTTTGCAGAAGAAGTACACAGGCATGCAAGAAATTGAGGAGTTATGGTCAGTGGTCTGTGACTGATCCAGGCTGGGAGGACAAGAGTATACCTGAGCTGTCTGGGCTCTAGAGGTCAAGTCAAAGTGGATGGGTCAAAACGTGCAATAAGTGAGGTCTGTCTGATGGGAAGGTGCTGTAAGTCGCAGTTTTATCTGCAGCAACTGGGCAAATGGACTGGAACAGTTCCCAAATCTTAGATCTTTGCCATTTATCATACTTTCTTAGGAGTTCCTTTATCAGAATAGATAAATCCTTAAACAAACAAGGAAGATGTTAACAAAACACGTCACCTTTCACAGCCTTTTATTCTTATTTGTTTGTATTTTTTATATTTTATTTCTTTCCCTATACAAAGAGCTAGCAACATAGTCAGAAAGCTGACCTTAGCATACTTGATTTGCAGCCGTTCACAAATTGTTAAGTCTCACTGAATTTTGATTTAGAACATAAAAGGCACCTTAACACCCATCTGTAGTAACGTAAATAGCATCACATTTGTGTACTTCAAAAAAGCTGCACATAGAAAGGATCAAGAGACTTTGAGAAAATGTACTAAGTCTGTTTTCTACAGAGAAGAAAAATTCCCCTAAGCAATATATTTTGGGTTTACAGGTATTGGCCAGTATTTCATTCTTGGTGTAATCTGCTTTGAGGTTAAAAAATGAGCTTGAAAATGTCAATAACAGAAAAAAATTACTGCACCTGATCAGCACGATGGTATAGGAACAAACAAGACTTTCTTAGTAGGTACAGACTAGACACTTGAAATCAGGGACATACTCTGAAAAGAGACTCAATTGACTAGAGATGGGAGTAGATAAAATAGTGCCATTTTACTTAAATTACTGACAGAGAGAGACATATTTCACTCCATGGCTGTCAAAAAGTGTGAGAGAAAGCTAATGGGAAGATGTTGTGAATCATTTTGGGGTTTTCCTGTCAGAAATATTTCATACAAATAACCTGTATTATGAACTTTCTATGTAGGTGCTTTTATGTAAGCCTAAGGTTAAAAAGAAAGAATTAGATTAAAATAGTGAAAACTCAAACTCAGACCTCTGCAGTTCTCCACAACTGTAAAACGTTCATTCAAGTCCAGGTTCAAGCTGATCAAACAGAACTACCCATAACCAAGAAATAAAAATAAAACATCCTTTGTGGGAGACAAAATGGAGCACTTTGACTGGTTTATTTTATTGCTAGCTATTACTGTCACCTCTCCAGATAACAGGTTATGCCTTATCCAGCTTCTTAAGACAACTAAAAACTTACATCTGGGCTCCAGTTAGTTGTCTCTCAAAAATACCTGCTCTGAAGAGAGATAAGTCTCTCATCCTCTCTCTCTGTGGCTCCCATCTGTGCTTTCCACTGATGCCACAGTGGTCTTTCACCTCCTATCCTCTGTTAGTAAAGCCCCTAGATGAGTGCCTGGGAACATCTGTATTGCAGCTTCCCTCTCCTCAATGGCTTTGGCTGAAACTCTGAAAGCAAGAGATGAAGTGACTTCTGTTCTTCAACCAACTGTCTGCAAGGAGTCTTTGCCCTAGAATTCACTTATAATTTTTCCTGAGTAGTGTTATGTGAATCCTTCCAGCTTTTAAGACAATAAAAGCTGGGTTTCCTGAAGCATCTTTCTCTGTCCCTAATATGAAATAATGGCAGACAGGCTGTTACCGTCGCAGTTGGCCAGTGAAGTTTGCCAGGGAAAAGTGGTTTAATCAGAAAATGTGAGCTTCTCAGAAATTATTTGTGACAACTGGCTGAATGCAGACTTTTGCAAAGCGCCAAGTATTTTTCAAGTCCAGGGAGCTTTGGTGTCAGAGCAGCACATTCAGATCTTTTGCAACTACTGAGGGAAAATTGGTGGCATTTTTTACCTTTGCTGCTATTCAGAAGTTGGTAAATGATGAAGTTAAAGAAAATTATATCAATTTCACATAGTTATTGCTGAGATGACAGGCAGGGCACAGATTTTCCAAGGGAATATCATGTGTCTGTGAAAAATACCTGGGTTTTGGGAAGCTGCAAAACACAAAATTGTCCATACCCTGGGAATTTTTCCAGTTCTCCATGAGTGTTCACTGCAAAGAAGTTGCTAGCCTTTCTTTCAGGCATTTCTTAACAAAAAAAAAAGGAGACACAACGTGTAATGTGTAAGCTGTTACTCATCCTTTGAATAATGAATGCTATTTTCTACAAAGGCTCCAAGCCATACACAGGCAACTTTTCTCTGCATCTGTAGGAAGGTGGTATAGCAACAGTTGTTGAAGGAAAAGGGATGGAGCAATCTTTATTTCACTGTTGTGGTGTTTACTTTTGAAAAACTAGATTGAGCTTCCAAAAATGCAAGGGGGGGTATGCTTGCCATCCCTAGAATGAGCAACAGGCAGGGGATCGGTCTCTTCTGCTGTCACTAATTATGTGTAAACGCCTGGGTTTGGGGATTTATAATGAGATCTCAGGAGATGGGTTCCGCTATTACTAATTGCTATTACTCAATTGAATGGGAAGATTGGTTTAGACATCTGTGGTAGGGAAGCTGCAAAGCACTGCAGAGCTGTATGTGAAATTAAGGAAAGTGGTGCTGTATGAAGTCCCTTGTGCTCAAGGAAGTTTGAGCACTAATGATCAAAGGTGAAGGCCCTGACTCCAGCACAAAGCATAAGCATGATGTTCACCTTGTGCTGAAACCCAGTCCCACTGCCCCAGACCTTATTGCCTTGTTATGGGACCAGGGCAGCTGTGGCTGCAAGCACAGGGACAAGGTATGCTTCTTCAGCCTCCTGAGCACAGCCAGTACAGCAGGCTTACCTGTCCCTTCCCAGTCACCAGGTTAAGCCTTTTGTGGTGATAATAGTCAGTTATTCCATATTCCATGTCTGAAGACATCACCGATGTTTGGAACAATTGCATACACCCTCTGCTGTAAGCAGCAGGGGAGGCTGAGCTCAGCCTTGCTGTTCTCCAATCATCCTCGTTCTTACAAACAGATGGGCTTCCTGTAAAAATCATATCTCAGTTGCATTTAGCTAACAAAAGCAACAATCAAAAAATGCACCTGCAAAAAATAATGAGGATTAGAGTCTTGTCCAGCGGTCTGGAAGGCTCATTTGCATTCCCTGGTCTGGCGATTCCCGTTTTTTCCGTGTTGTGAAAAGACCCTCTCCCCAATGTTTTTCTGTCCCTAAGACAAGAGAGCTAAAAAGCTTTCGTTGATGGGGGAAAGTGGAAGATCATGTTCATGACACCTGCTTTGTATGTAATTCCTACACGTCATACACTTCTGCCACAATTATTACTTAATTCATTCCTCTCCAGAAAAATACACCAGTCATTTCGTGGTCACCCTGTTTATCATCTCCAGCTGTGGGGGCCAGTACCGGCCAGGTGCAAGGACAATAGCTGGCTATTCATTTCTCTGAAATGAACCAGCTGTTCCCCTCAGCATGCACCAAGTCTGGTGACAACCCTGTTATGGCTGCTGCTGTGACTTTAATTTTATTTTAAGAGCTAATCCAGGCTGATCGTTCTGAGAACATGCCTAAGTATAGTGAGGGGTAAGTACATTTTACAGAAAGACATATTCCAGGTTTTAAATCTGTTGTAGAATAGCTTATAGGTCTGTGTGAGCTTTTGGGTTTTTCCCCCAGATTCATGGGAGACGTTGATTGGTACAGTTAGATAATGTCAGGTAGGGAATTGCTCACCTGCTATTGATGTCCACTAAACTCTGCGTTCCAGCATATGGGTCAAATCGTGACCTAAGTCACCAGAGATAGCAGTCACAAGTCCAGTGCCTGACAAAAAAAAAATGTGTGGATGACAAAGAAGAGCCTGAAGTATATTTCAGCCCCACGAAGATCCCAGAGCCAGTAGAGAGTCCATTCCCTTGGGTCTGCTTGTGACCAAAGGACTTGATCTGTGTTATGCAGCTTAGAGGTCTTAGGACAGCGCTGCTTCTGTCTTTTTACTACATGGACCCCCAAATATAAGGAAAGGGGAGGGGAGAGGAGGGGATGCTGCTGACAAAAAGTTCATAATGAACTGATGGCATAGGAAAGAAGAGAAAAGTTGCCTGCTAAATGTCACAAGACCTCGGGAGTCTGGACTGAGGATCCAGGTCCCAGTCATTTACTCTCAGAAGCATGAAATCCATCATTTCCCATTTAAAAAGTAAATAAGACTATCTGGGTTTTCAGGGAAATTCTGGATCTGGTTTCAAGTTTGATTGCTCACCAAAACATTAATTGTGAGGTTTCTAAAAATTGCTTTGAACAAGACACGTTGTAAGAAAGGAAGAGATATAATTTGCAGCTGTATGAAAACAATGCAAAAAAAAAGAGAAACTCAGAAAATATTTTCTTAGCCTTGATGATGTCATTCACAGATCTATTTCAACTAATTGTTTTTAAATTAATAATTTTTTACTAATTGTTTTACTTTCAATACTTTTTCATTATTAAGAAATGGAGACAAAACCTACTCATAGCTATGGCTGTTACATTTAACTTAAATCAATGGGATTTTCCTCCCTCTCTTTCTCAGCTCATTTATATTATCTGTCAAAATTTCCCATTGAAGAATGTACTTTCTGCCTCTGAGATTTCTGCTCACTTCCTCCCGAGAGAAGGAATTTGCCAGTACTTTGACCTTTCACTCTGTACTAATCCAACTTGAGTCAGTAGATGCCAAAGGGAGCTTAGTTTTTTCATATTTTCCCAGTTTTATCTGCCAATAGTGTATCATTCTTTGCATAGACTCAGGTCTGCAGAATAGTCCATTTTGTTTTACAGGCCAACAAAACAAGACAAATGGGATGCTGTAAATACAGTACTAAACCCCATGAATAAATGAAACTGCAAGCTTTGAGAGAGGTCACTCGGAAATAGCTTCAATTCCAATAGACTCTGTATTAGTGACTCAAAATTGTGTACATAGCCAATGAAACCTTCAGTTCATGCTGAGATACAGGGATAGGGACTGCTGCCTATTTTTTGTGAATATTGACTTTTCTTCCAGGAGATCTGCCTTCTCTTCCTAGCAATTCCACACACTTATGGTATGATATTGAGCAAATCATTCTCTCTAGTTTAAAATCTCATGTTCATTAGAATGATGGGACCACGATATGGCTGTCCTTTGTAAAATGCCTTGAAATCCATGGATAAAAGCAAGCCTTACATTGAAAAATTATTGGCATTATACATTTACAGAGCAACTTCTAAGAGCCTCATAATGCTATCCTGAAATTATACAAAAATGCATACAGTTTTTCAGGAGCATTCTAGTTAGATGAAGCTGTCTGAAAAGGCCATAATCCCAGCTCAAGGACAATATCTTTGTTTTCTATTTTCATTTTCAGCTTTGGCCCATATCATGACAAACTCAGAAATCATTAATATTTCCCGCAAATGACAAGTTCCCAGGGGAAAAAAAATAATCAGAAATACCAAGGAAGGATCACTTCCAAGACAAAGTACATTCCCAAGCGAATCCTGCGTTATAGACAATGTGGTGCCTCAGGCAGGGGGTAAGGAGGAATAGAAAATTAATCTTGCAGGATGCCTGAAGAGAACCAGGCATACCTTGAGTATTTTAGTGTTTCTCTTCGTTTTGTGTTTTAACCTCAATGCTTAGCCAAAATTCAAGGTTCTGTAGTAATTTTCTGTTAGGAAGAGTAATGATAAGAGACATGGGTGTCTTCGACACAGCTCCAGTTGTTTACAAACAATGTAAAAGACTTTGCTTCCTTGAACAAGGCAGAAACCAGCAAGCTGGAGACAGCTGCTCAGAAGGGGGTCTGGCATGGCCAACTGCCAGCGTTCCAAACATCAAGATCCCAGGAGATATTCCCAGCACCATCTTCCCTGTGCTTATTAATGCCCGAACTTATGCTTGGCTTTATCTACTCCCTATTGGGTCCTCCTGGGCTGCTTGTATGGAGACATAATCCAGGATCCAGGCAGTGGGTATTGCAACCTGAGGTCTCTCAAAGTCCCCACTGCTGGCTACAGCATCGAATTAACAGAGGCCTCAGATAATTTCAATGAAAAGTTGAAAAAAAACTTTCAGGGCAATCTGAAAACTCAAAAAGGAGAAGATAAGAGAATGCCCAATGTACTTGCTTCACCACAGGAAAGTACCCTTAATGTGAGGGCATTTGTTACTCTGGGTCTGGCTGCTGCTATGAACATCTGAGATCTGTGATTTTCAGGTGCAGACTCCATTAGGTAACAACTCAATACACTTCTGTCACAAGTAATAGTTGGGATGATGTGGGCAGAATGGGGATGGATAAAGGTGATAAAGTACACAAAGGTGGTACAGAAATGCCAACAGCATCTCTACTTGGCACAGCCGTTGCTGCCAGACTTAACCTCAATGCCATTCCTGTCACAGATTGAAAGGTCTCTTCTTGCTGCAAGAAGTCTTTTTCAACTCTCAAAGAAAAAGCGGGTTGAGTATCACAGAGCTTCACACCAGGAAAAATGCATGAACTCAGTGTAAATGATAATAATGAAATAGTAGTATATATGTAATTTCTAGCAGAAAAAAATCTTCTATGAGCCAGGAAGGAGAAAAAAAATTGAGGTCTTTTTCATTATCTAATTTACCATCATTCCTTGATATCTCCAAGTAGGACTAGGGGCTCTGGGGTAGATCATTAAAGCTCTTTCCCTCTTTTCTGTACTGTAGACCTCTGCACTACAGAAAAGAGAAGCTGACATTGGAACCTGTAGCAATTCTAGTGAATCCATAGAGAATTTACAGAGTATAGCCCCAGGCCCATGATGAACAGGGCAGAGAGAGTGAAGGTGATATTCAGTCTTTGGAAACACTGAGAAGAGATGAAGTTTCTTGGAAGAGATGACCTTTTTTTTTTTTAAGTTCCCTTACCTCTAATCAGAAAGAGTAGGCTGTCAGTTATTGAGTTTAAATTTAGATTGCAGTGTTGTTCACTTCTCTGAGTTACAAAACTCATATAGATTTAATGTCCAGACCTGCAAATCCTTTGCAGTGAAGCAGGAAAAAAAATGAAGTCACAGAATTAAGACCAGTTAATGGAAGCGTACGTGTGAACGACCTGTGGGGTGTTCCCATTAACTGCTGTGCTGATTTATATTGTTGTCATCACAATCTTTTTGCATTATGTCTCATTATACTCAAAGAATATTGTTACAATTAGATTGAAATTTGTCTTCATGGGAGGCATTGTCCTGACTGAAGGATGAGGGCGATATTTCTGGGCAATCTATAATGTGATTGGCCAGCTATGACTGCCAGCTCACATGTGCTGGATCTTCATCACCACACACAGGGCCAGCCCAGAAGCTGGGGAATGGTTAATGTCCACACCTGCACTAAACCTGCAGGTGAAAGACAACCAACCAGCTTTGTGTGGGACTGAGGAAGGGAAAATCCAGGCACCTCCCTCCCTGGTTCAGGAGGAGTTGAAAGCAGCTGCTCCTGCTGGGGTTCATGCTCATGCTGGCCAGAACAGCCTGAAGGAGGCCTGCCCGGGGGATGATGTGTGCACACATTGCAACTAATTGCACTCTGTACATCAGACTGCAAAAACCAAGACAAATAAATCATCATTTCACCTTGCCAACTAAGTAAATACTGAAATCCTCACCTTACATACAGGAAAAACAAGTCACAGAAAGAGCTGGGGCCAGTGCCAGGACTGGGAAACAGCTATCCAAACTTTCTAGTATGCTAGCTTTCATCCTGCCCCCCTCAAGCAACACAACTGATCTCTTTCAGAGTCAGACTCAAGTTAGCTCCTCTGGAACAGGGGAAGGTGGCAGTCAACCTGTCATGGTATCCAGTGTGCTCCCTCTTTATGAGGAGCACATTGGACTTCTTAACTTTTGGCTTCTTGTAAC